CCCCAAAACCCCAAAACCCCAAAACCCCAAAACCCCAAAACCCCGATAATAAAATTATAGTTGAGTGGTTTTAATATTCCAGAAATTATTGTGAAGGTGAATTTCTTTCTTCTTCAGGGATATTATCTACAATAAACCTCTTGTCTTCGGGTATACTTTTAATATACTCCATTTCTCTGTCAAACTTGTTGACACCTTTAATCATCAGACTTCCAACAGAGTTTATTCTCTGGATTGCTTTAATTGACTGTTTGGTATTAGGCATGTGCTTCAAACATCTAGACTTGGAGTTGTGATTCTCAAACATCTCTAATTCCTTAGGTCTCTTGATGATGTTCAAGTCTCTAAAATGGCATGTCTCGTGGATATAAATAGGGTCTTTTCCTATACGATTATGTAGAAAGTACCATCTGAATTATTTGATAAAGTTACTATGTCTAGCATCTTCTTTGTTAGTTTTCCTCAAGCTAGCATACCAGCTATTCATGCTTTTATAGTAGTTCTTCTCAGGAGAGAGAGCTCCGGATTTGACAAGAGTTTCTTCATGAAAAGCATCGGACTTTTTGATGAGATTATCCCTGGGGTCTCTGGAATTTATCTTTTTACCCAACGACATTGCCTTATTTCTCCATGTTTTACGCTGTTTTTCATAATTCTGTAGAAATCTGCTGTCTTTATCTTGCCAATGAAGGAACTCTTTTGGAGCATTCTTTAAACTCTGGATTGAGCTGAGAGAAGTATGGAAGATGCTGCTGTAAAGTTCAGAGATATCTTCTTCCTCCACTTTCCTGTGTTTATATTCATTTATGAAATTTTCCAAATCTCGGTTTGAGAATTTCTTTGCATAGACATTTTTAAAGTTATCCCCACCTCTAGGGATCGAAATTGTTTTATATCGCTCATCAACTATAGAACTTTGGGATTTCTTTTGGCCAAATATCGGATCAAATGTTACTTTAGCATTGATAAACTTTCCTGCTTTAGGCTTCTGAGGTTTATTGAGAGGCCTAGATTATTAATAACTAAAATAACTAAGAGTACTTTAAGATAAATTCATCTCTGAGCCGTTTCAATGAGAAGCCTCGTTTCTCTCTCTGTTTCTGAGGATTTTCGTATTGATCTTTCGTCCCTACAATTGTCCTCTTGATCGGCCTTCCTTCTTCATCATATCTGATTTTCAACAGATAAGTATTGTGAGGGATTTCTCTGATATTTGGCCTATGATTTGTAATTTTAGAAATATCTGATGAACCAATTTTTAATCAAGCAGGCCATATCGTCAGGAATTATAGAAAAAATTGATATTGCTGAAATTTTGCAATTTTCCTTAAAATCTTAGAAGAGAAGATGAGTGGTTTTAAATAGCGTGTTAGTATGGTTTCGACTGATCACTGGATTGAAATATAAGAGATAATGTGCTAGACTTGTTATCTGAAAATCTTAAATGTAGCATTTCAACAGAAATCTCTGCTGTTTAATTTTAGTTTCCGATCATGAAAGTATACATGACAGGCTGGAATTATTACATTGAATCTTTAATCAATTTAAATCAATTCAAGAGTAATTACATGCTATTTCTAGAAGATCTGATGCTCTTGAGTAAACTCCGAGCTTCTTCCTTTTGTCTCACTTTGCTGACAACCAAAAATTCGCTTGACGAGGATAGATCTGCAAGTCTGTTACCTATATGAATATTAAGAATTCCTGATCTCCCAAAGACTACTATTAACTCTTCTTACCAAATGTGCTTTGGGATCTTTTCTGGGGGACCGGTTCATTGAGAGCTTCATTCTTCTGTGACCCTGGGGTATGTTGAGATAACATATTTATTAAATTTCAATATAATATGTGGTTGTTGGGGTTTTGGGGTTTTGGGGTTTTGGGGTTTTGGGG